GGGCTGAACCTTGTTGACGAAGCATGCTCGGAAACTGTGGAATTGGACGATTGATCGGGGGGGTTGCAGAGCCCCCCTTGCCGCGTGCATCCAGGTCGATCAGTCAAAGTTGAAGGATTTGTGTTTGTTTTTATGCAGACTCTCTCTATTTTTCTTCATGTGTATCCATTTTAAGGACGTCAGGTGCAGATTACTCTTGTTCGATCAAAGTTCCAATTACCGGGAATTTAAGCACGACTCGACTCGAGCTCAATCAGTCAATAATGCAATGTGGCAAATCCCATTGATCTAGGAAACCCGTTGTCCTCGAGTGAGATTTGTTGGCTGATAATTACTGAACAGCGTGATCCTGGCCTTGGTTTATCCAGGGTCGAATTGAATTAGTATAACAGTAGATGCAGATTGACCGCCGTACTGAGCCGTCGCAACTTGTACTATACGAACAGGGGGGGATCTTAACTCGTGCCGGATGTAGACTACATTTCAGTTGCTTTCACGGTATGAGGATTTGTCTCGCTGGTGCTTGTTGAGAGAAGAACAACTTGAAGGTAAGTAGCCCCAGAGGGAAGAAAGGGATGGTGAGATTTATTGTGGGTGAGAGGTTCACCTACTAAATAGACTGGAGACTGGCAAGGTCACATGCAAACATTAAACAAGTATTGATCCACGAACAACCTAGAGCTGATATCCATCATCTTCTCATCCTGCCTGGACATACATCCCAAAAAAAAAAACTCTTACGAAACTTAACCCGTCAAGCAGTGAGGTCAACCATATGCGACTCTGGGGTCTGTCCCAAGGTGCAGTGTATGTTATAATGACAAGACTTTCGAGTCAGAAGGCCTGTGATCGTGCATTAGCAGCTTGTTGAGAAGCCAGTCATACTTGGCTTTACCTCCAACTGTGCGAGATAATGCACGTTTGAGAGGAAGACCAGGGACTGCATTGGGTGTCCCTGACAGGCATGTCCCGGGGCCCGGCGGGAGTGGCTTGCGGCCGTTGATTTCACATGAACATTTGGGGGAGCACCTTCGTTTCGGCGCCCCGATACTGCTACTGCGATGCCTCATTGCCAACTACCTTGTTCCTAGTACCACTCTGTAGAGACTGAGTACTAGAAGTGGCCAATGATTTGTCATTGATATATACAATCTGAATCCGAGGAGCATCAAAGTTGTATTGAAAATCCTAAACCTAGTGTATCGACCCTATCTCAGCAACAGTCCGGCCATGGGAAGCGGTTGGCAAATCGATGCAGGGTGACATGATAAGCACAAGATTGGAGTCGAGTGACCATGTACTACTGTACATCATTCATTAAAGAACTGACGCTCCATCATTTTATTACTTGTTCCATAAATAAAAAGGGTGCTGACCATCGGACTCGCTGGGAAAATACCGCTAGCGGCCTACAGAAAGTCCCCTGGAAGTTAGTTCTCCAGAATCCAGACAGCTTCACTCTGCGCACTACTATTGTCCGGATAAATGGAGATGGACAGAACCCGTTCAGCCGAAAGCGCTGCAGGACCGAAGACCATACCACTTGGCTGTCTTTCTCTCATTCAGGAGGAAAACGGCCATGCCGTACGCAAGTCGCGTGCAACGACGCATTCCCTTGTGGGAGCTTGAGCGATCCACTACTATTTCTGACTCGATGCCATACGTTTGTAGGCCATGTAGCGTGCTCAGTGCTCAGTGCTCAGTGCTCAGTGCTCAGTGCTCAGTGCTCAGTGCTCAGTGCTCAGTGCTCAGTGCTGTATGACACACGAGGTCACTAGTACCTTAACCTGGGGGTAGATTCAAGGATGTTGGTAGAGCTTGCCCAGAGTCGGATGAGGAACCGGATCACGGGGGCCACGTAAGCAGCGGGTGTGACCGCCCAGTCCCAAAAAGCAAGCGAAACGAAACAGAACAACCGTAACCTTAAGACTAAGAATCAGTAACAGCGGGGAACATAGAGGAATAGCAAACGCCAAACACAGGGAGGATCACTTGTACGCCTGAGTAAAGGTCCAATTGATATTTGTAGATATCGATCTACAGGAAGGAAATGAGGAAGGTGAAACACAACTTGATTGGTGAGAAAGGAATGGGAAGGAAGAGGGGCTATCTAATATATGGGTTTATCGGTCCCTCGGTGATGCGTCGGCAGAGGCATCCAGACAGATTACAGGTGATATTGTACAGTGTACACAGTATGGTATAATGTCCTAGTAAGTAATGTACTACTGAGTCGCTGAGTGGTGAGTAGTGACTAGTGAGTACTGAGTACGGAGTCTTGACATTTATACTCACTGGTAGCGAGTACCAAGCCACCATCATAGTACATTAGTAGTTAAGTATAGTATACACTTCAACAAATGCAACAATTGCAGCCTAATAGCCTATTAGGTTGGGTGTACTACCTTGTGGCTACACTTTACATAGACGCTTCAATACAAGTATCGCACCTTGTAAGGCGGACGCCGGAAGCTAGGTTCGTATATTTCGGCGACACTGGATGACTAGAGTGTGAATCCTGTCAACAGCGTTACTTTAATAAGTGCACCAGATGCCTAGCATCGTCGAGACTCTAGGTCATGAATCCTGTACACAGTACGTACTACACCCAGCAGCCGATCTGCATCCAAAGTAGATGGATCATGCTTGCCTCCTCATCGAGTCCAGCCAGATTGCTAAACTGGGCAGCTCACAGCTGGGTAGATCCATGATCAACGAGCGGAACCCAGAAGCGGGATAAAATGGACTGCCAAGACCCCAATTCAGATTATCAGACGACGAACGAAGAATAGAGCCAATAATGAGAGGAGGAACTAGAACAGCCAAAGTCTGCGCTGTATCTCACAGACCCAGCATCGACCAGGTCGCCCAGATTGAACCCTTAAGGTGCACGTGAAGCCAGTGATGCGTGATTAGGCAGCTTCAAGGTTGGAATTCGCTCCAACTATGCCCTACACCGAAGGTCTACTGCTACGCCATTAGGTGAAGACAGGTTTCATGTGAGGGTGAGCCTTACCACTGAGCTCTCCATCCTGTCGACGGAGCATACTCCCGCCTCCTGGCCTCATCACGTATGCTCCTTAATAAGTCATGACCATGTTCATCTCCAGCTCAGATCATGGTTGGTCGTACTTCGGGGTAGCACGGGAAGCATGCATATGCCGAGCCCTGCTCGACGCTCGTCTCTCGGGAGGCTTTACCTAAGAGTAAAACAACATGTCTTCTCCAGACTCCGGCTTCTCCGGCTTGGTATGTCCTTTTTTTCTGACCATATCACGACTGGAATGGGTGCCAATTCCTGGGCGTCTCGGCACTGTCCTCCCCCCCAAGTGTGCATTGTTTCAGTGGCCCGCGCGGAGACGTCTGAAATTTGCGGGTGAAAATGACCGTCGAGGGGGAACGGCCGCTGGAAAAGGTGGACATCGCAATTTGGTTTGGGCGGATCGATAGCCCGGTGGAGTAGTACATATCTAAAGATAAAAGGATAGACTTCTCATATCCTGTCTGGAGCTCATTCGTGATTCCAGAATGCCTCGAGGTGCAGGAGCATGAAGGAGAACAAGTGACTGCCAGACTGGTACTCATCATAAGGGTTGATAAGTCAATGTCTGGACTACTAGTCCTAAAGTCTAATGCACCACTAAGCGCCCCAGCGCTGAACATGCCCAATGCCGAATGGGTGATGTTCCCATCTTCAGCACACTAGCACTCTAGCAGCCTAGCACAGTACAAATTTACACCTAACCTGTACAGTACATACGCACATGTAGTGGTAATGGTAAAATTCGGAGGTGTAATGGATGATACAACACGGGTCCAGATTCAGCACCGTCCGTCTGACTCCAATACTTTGACCCAATCACACCATGCCAAGCCACATGAAGAGAGGATCCCTTGGAACTTCAACCAATGAGTATGCTTACACTCAATCCGTCGCGCAACCCTACCTCTTGGCGGCTTGGCACTGACAAAAAATTCAACTGTGGAGACAATACCGGAAGGCAAAAAGAGGCCGCTAGACGCTCTGCAGGAGTGCTTCACTGCTAGTCTGCTACTTCTATGTTAGCCTGCCCGGCAGTGAAATCGCTAGCCCATGCAAGATACAGGACCAGTGTAACTTGTAAGTGTACGGTCTCGTCACATGTTGGCTTTCAACTTCGAACGCAATCTGAATCCACACATCGACTGCAGTACGATACTTGACATCACACTCACAGTCCCAGTACGACCTGAACCGAGTAACGGTATACTTTTACCAAGGCCTCGGCGATAAAGTCCGTCATGGTTCAACTTCAGACCAGTCTGCTCGATCATGGAGGAGCACCTCATGAAGTATATGGTCATATCACCCTACCGTGACTGAAACTCCAGAGAAGTTGAGCCACACATACGGCGATTGCAGAGGATTGTCGATGCTCGCTCACCGCAATCAACCCGCACATGCATGAAATTGCCCCCCTCCTCCCCGGTGTTACGAGACAAGACGACAAATCACCAGATGTGCCAGACTCGACCACCACCCTCATAATGCCAAGGTCTCGGCAGCTGGGCGTCTTGGCGCAGTCAACCTGCAAACAGCAGGAATCCCACCTCCGCCGTCATGGCACCTTTCCCCCTGCTCTTTTTCGCTGTGTGATCTCTTGCATTCACATAAATTCGACGGTTTCCGCTCCTCTCGTCTTGCTGTCCCATCCCTCTCGACCCCCGCCCCCCTGATTTTCCGCGGAGCACCGCATGTCAGCTCGGCCGTACTTCTCCCCTCCTTCTCCTCTCAACGCCCTTGACAAAGGTCACAAGAGAGTGACACTCTTTTGCTTACATGGGCCTTGGATCATGGAGTGAACCTTGTAAAGCCCCAGTCGCCATCTGTGCGCGCCTCTGTACGACCATCGGCACTCCCCTTCTCGATCTCTTGATCACTCGACCACATCTCACCTCGTCGTTAATTTTGTGATATCCCACCTCCTCTCCCACCTCCTCTCCCCCCCATTCAGATTATCATGCAGGCTCCGGAGATGACATATAGTCCCGCCTTCCTCCAAGGCCAGGGCCCCCTCAACACTGCCCCTCGCAGTTCAATACTGGGCCCACTGCCAGATCGCTCTGCAGATCCCTTGGATCAGAGTCGACCCGGTTCATGGCGCCCGTCAGTAGACGGAGGTCACTATGAGGGGAGTCTGCAATCCTCACACCCTCGGAGATCTCTCGCTCAATCGCCACAGACTTCAAGGCGCTCCTCTCGCGCCGAGAATGATGTTGCTGTGACTCGAGTAGTGGTTCCAGGAGGGGTGCTATACAAGGATGAACGGTCCCAAAGCAGCTGGGCTGACCATCCCTCATTGATGTCGGCCGACCAACCACCTCCGCCTCGAAAAGGAAAGCGAGGCGTTGCAACAGATATACCCGCCGTGCAAGGTCAGGATGCTTTGCTGATTCTGGTATGTGGATCACACATTGACAACGCTTGTCCCCTTCCAAGCACAAACTACGACCCCCAACTAAACTTTAGCTGCATATAGTTGCGCTTATCAGCCCCAGTACCGATGTACTCCCTTGGCGCATGTCTCTACACATTCTTTGCCCTCCTCTTCGTCATCCTGGTCTCCCCTCTCCGACTATGCCCCCCCACCCAATATCTCCGCAACGCCTCTTTCAAATCCCAGCTTTGTGACATGCTTGCTCCTGCCCTGCACATCCATGAGCGCCTCGTGCGCATGCGCCCATCAACCTCCCACCGTTCATCATCGACGCAGTGGATCCAAACCGAAACCGACTCGGATCACCCACTGGGAGAAGACGAGGATACGCGCTTCTACTCCGTTGGCATGGCCCTCGGAGTACTCTTGCTCTCGCCCTTTTTCAGCTTTGTGATTACCTTGTCTGCATGGACCGCTGGCTTCTTCTGGGTGTTCACCATGGTCATGGGGAACCCGGATGGAACAGAGCGCAAGGACGACGGCCGTGCCGCCGTCCTTGGAGTGTGCAAGTGGTGGCAGAAATGGCTCGCCAAGGCTCGCAAGCTTTCATAACAGGCTTTGCGCCCACTGTTTTTGGACAGTGACAACCCTAAATCAACCTCAAGCAATTGGCTTTTCCTCGACATCGAGGAGACTGAGCCCGACATGGAGCCAAGGCGGAAATTGGCTTTCTTCTTAGAAGCTCGAGGCCATCCCACGTTTGAACTACTTTCGAACCTTCTCTCCCTCCCATGATCATGCATGATGATTCTTTGACGAAGAAGATCCCAACATTACGCGACACATGACCTTCCCCACCAAACACTTCGGCGACCACCATGACTTACCATAGTCAGAATGTGATTTGCTGCTCCATCCGAATACGGGCTGTACATCCTTCGCACCTTGACCACTATACGTAGTGGAAGGTTTCCTGATTGAAACCTTTTACTTGAACTCATCGTGTATCTGTTCTACTCGATGACGTTTCCCGGTAGCTGAAACATCTCCACGTGCGATTCTGGCGACACTTCTCATCTCGCCTCTCCTCCGCTTCTCCCTCCCTCCCCCTTTGGCTCGTCCTCTCGATGATCAAGAGTCCGATGAGGACATTCATGCTCATCGAGACCAGCCACGAACAGAACCGAACATCTCGGTCCATCCGCTAAACAATCTCTCTATGCCATGAGGGTGTCCACTCACCATCTGCGTGCCATTCCCATTACCATCAAGACAAGGTGAAGGAACAGGAGGAGTAACACGAGGAGAATTGGCCCCCTTCTTTTTTGTTCAGTTTATACCCTTGCTCTTTCTTTATTGTTAATTGATACCCTATCATCTTTACCTTGTCAACTTGAATTCATAATAGTCTCTATCTATTATCGTTTCTCTCCATATCCCTTTCTGTAGACCCCCTTGAGAAAAACAGCCATATTCCTAGCAGGTGCCAGGCAGTAGTACGCAAGAAGATTCCATCTCTCCCTCATTCCGTCATCCACCATCCGTCATCAAACTCAACTGCCAAGGTTTTCGAGGAAGGAGGCCGATGCAAGTACACTCAAGACGTATGCCAATTAGTTCTCGTCTCTTTGGGGAGAGTCCTAATTCGGGCGTCGTGGATTCGCAGATTCTCTACTCTACACATGGCCTAAAAGCTTCACCGGTCTCTTTCTACGGATATACACGCCACACTCATTGTCTACATGGAAGAGTGTTGGTCCCATCTAAATCACGAAGGATGGATACCTTATAATTACTCCTCGTGGAACCCTCAATACGAACGAAACCTGTCGAAGTGAAAAGAGTAAGAAGTGGGGGAAAAAAAACAAAGAGTGCATAGAATCTATGTGCAAATACCCCCATAATAAACTCTTGCTCCGAGAAATCAAATCAAATCATGAACACAGGCATTAGCCCCACAAAAACAAAAAGGGAAAAGAATCCAAACATGTTTCGGAAGCTGAGAAATATCAGGGAAAATCGCCGTGTCAAGTCACCTTGGAACGGAAATTGTCAGTCAGTGGAGGGCGAGAGCAGGGGGGGGGGGTATTGATGAGGTATATCGTCAAGTCACCAAACTTGAAAGATATGGGATAAATGTAGGAGGATTTGCGGTCCGAATGATGTTGACCAGAGAATGCTCAATTCTGGAATATACCGATGGCCAGCTTGGGAGGTAATGCCAAGTTGCGGATGCAGGAGTGATGAGTGAAAAATGATGAAGCACGGTTGTCGTGGACAGGAAAAGAGAACAAATAGATCATGGCAGTGGTACAGATAATCTAGCGACGACCACGGCCACCGCCGCGACCACCACCACCACCACCACCTCCTCCTCCTCCTCCACGGCTGGAAAAGCCCCCACGACCAGGGCCACCACCTCGGCTCGAGAAACCACCACGACCAGGGCCACCACCTCGGCTCGAGAAACCACCACGACCGGGACCACCGCCTCGACTCGAGAAACCACCACGACCAGGACCACCGCCACGACCGGGGCGAGGACCTCCTCTGCCGGTCATACCACCAGGGTTGCGGCGCTTCTCGATACGGCCGCCATTAGACGAACCAGGAGTCTTGGGGGCACCAAGACCCCGACGAGCCTGACCTTGACCTCTGGCTCGCAGGTTCTGACCGATGGCAGCATCGTCCTCGTCATCCAGGTCCATGGCATCGTCACCGCCACGGTTCTTGGCCTGGCCCATCTTGACCTTGCCCTTTTGGCCGCGACGGACAGCATCAGGTCCACTGACAGCGGCGAGGTAGGCGTTGATGCCGCTACCGCTCTGGGCAGTTTCGCCCATTTCAGCATCGACAGCCTTTTCGTCGCCGAGGATCAGACGACCATCGGCATCGAACTTGGCAGCGTGCTTCCTCTTGGAGCCGGGCCCGGTGTTCAAGAAGCGCAGGCTGGGCTTGGTGGTAGAAATGTTTGCGAGAGCGTCAGGGGCGAGCAGATCGAGAGGATTGTCCTCAGGAGACATCTCGCGGATGTACTGGCTGCCCTGTGCAGACTTCTTCTTGTTTCCAGCACCACGACCCTTGACACGGGCCTGACCCTCAGTGTCGATGTCGATAACGCTGGCATCATCGTCATCATCCTCAGAATCTGATGAGTCGGATCCATAGACTGCTTTGTCAAAGGCATTGCTGGACTGCTGACCGCGGTCCTTGTCATTCTCTTCATCCTCCTCCTCGTCATCCTCACCGGCTGCGCCCTCCTTCTTCTTGCGCTTGCTGCGCTCACGCTGTTTCCTGATGTTGACCACGAGCTTGCGGTCCTCTTCGCCAACGAGGTTCTCCATCAAGGGTGCACCGAAACGACGCACAAGACGGTCGATGATGCCCTTTACCTTACTACGCAGACGTCCCTTGTGCTCCTTGTTCCAGGCCATGAGGTTGGGCACCAGAGCTTGAAGACGGGGACGCAGAATCTCATCCGGCAGGATGACAACAGCAACCTTGACGAAACCAAGCACAGATCGGACAATCTCGCGATTGTTACTGGTGAGGAAAAGCTCGACCGTCTGGACCAGATCGGAGACAACCTCGGGTCGGAGATCCTTGTAGAACTCGAAGAAGAGACGCGACAGAGCGGTGACGGACGCAGCCACCATGTGAGGCGAAGAACCAGCCAGACCAGCGGACACCATGGTGAAGAACTCTTCGATTGTAGCGGGTGCATCGGGCGAGTCATCGGGCATGTGAGGCACCTTGGAGTTGTGGATCACCGTGCCAGCAGGATTGAGTTCCGGGTCGATCGTGCGGCGGGCCAGGTGAATCAGCAGGTCAAAGGCAGCGGTACGGGCCTTCTCGTTGCTTTCCTTACAGCCAAGAACAACCTCGGACAAGATTGACGGGATGAAGTGAAGATCCGATGTGGGCAGATTTGTGATCAGCTCATCGATAGCAAGCATGCGGTCTCGTCGGCCAGATGCGGGTGTCTTGTCGGAAGTAGCAAGCATCAGGTTCTGCAACTCACCACTGCGTTCTTGCAAAGCAGCGCGGCCAGTTTCCATAGAAGCAAGACGAGGGATGAGCTTGTAAGCTTTCTTGATGAGTTGCTGGTCTGGGGTGGCAGAGGGACCATCGAGAATGGCAGCAGCCATGGCAAATAGCCCGCTGAAGCTGGACCGGGGCAAATAAATTGACATGGCAATGACCAAATCGATTAAGGTGTGAGAAGTTGGGGGCATCTTGTCAGATGAGGCTTGCTTGGCGGGGGCATTCTGCTCCTCTACCAGCGATGATTCAAGCATCGTGGTAACACGAGTGAATGTTTCATTCAGCTCCTAGATGAACATTAGAATTGAGAGGCAAAGAACAGTGGGGGTAACCAATTGTTTTCGTGCGAACAGGCTCTGTTCAGAAGACTAACATTTTCGGGGGTGATGCTCAGGTAGGCATTGATACACTGCAGGATATAGCCACGATGGTGGGGCAGAGTCTGGCTGTAAACGTTGAAAAGGACAGCGAGCAGGTTGCTGGCAAAACCGGCCAGATAGGAGAGGTTCTTAGTGGCAGCCGCCTTGGTGATGCGCCGCTGCAAGATCAGGTCATCCTCGTCCTTTTCGACAGACAAAATGGCTTGGTTTGACTCCACCAAGTTCTGAAGAGCCCGGCAAATATCAACACGAAGCTCTGTCTGCTTGTACAAGACGTTGGACAGAAGTTCCGCGAATGATTGATCAAAGGCCTCGGTCAGATCAAGTGGCAGCTCACAGTAGCCGGGGAGAATGCCCCAAGTCTGCTGAACCAGAGTCTCGAAGATCTTGGTCTCCACGGGCTTCTCGGAAGACTTATAGTCCATCATCTTCTGGTAGAGGGCCTCGCTCAGAGGAACCATCTCGGAGCGGAAGTGACCAAGGTTGGTATTTGTGACATGATCACGGAGGATTGGCAGCATCCAGACACGACCAGGTTGGCCATTCTTCTGCTGGATGATGTTCAAGGGCAACAACTCAAGAACAGCCTGGGGACCCATGGCCTCAATGGCAGCACCAAGGACACTGTCCGCCTCCTTCTTTCCGTGGAAGGCCTCATTGCTGCGCAACTCGCCGATCGTAGTAACCACGTCCACCAAGAATGGGTTTGAACGCCATTTGAAGCAATCGAACATGGCAGAGCAAACATTGAAGACTTCCTGCCAAGCAGCTTGGTACTTCACTGAAAGAAGATCACCAGCCATACTAGCCAGTTTTTCGAGGGTCTTCTCATCGTACACAGAGGCATCCAAGATGACGCTTTCAGGAATGCAGTTGTGCAGGAATGAGATCAGACACTCAGAGGATGAGACGCGAATGTTGTGAGATGGAGAGGCCAAGAACCCGGAAATCAATTGGAAGAGACTTGGCAGCTTGTCAAACGTGTCCTCCGGGTTGATCTGCGCAGAGACATCGTAACCCCGGGAAAGGACGGCAATCCACGGAGGTAGAAGCTGGGAATCGTTCTGGGCGGGCTTGAGCTCGGAGATGGCGTCCAGAAGGCGAGGAAGTTTGGAGGACGAAAACTCATCGGCCATGCCTTCAAAGATGACTTCGAAGACCTCGAATGCGCCCATAGTAATATATTCATTGGTCGATCGGGAGGCGTTCATGAGAAGCTCACAAAGGGCCTCGATCTTCTTGCTCGGCCAGCCTCCAGACGCGGTAGCAATGGTCTTCACAAGCTGGAGGGAGTGAATAATCAGGGGTTCATGATTCTCGCGGTTCGCGTCGTGCTTTCCCTTCTTTTGCTTAGAAGCGGCCTGAATGCTGTCGCTCAGGGTCTTCATAGCCGACTCTGCGCACATGTCCGCGGCAGGGTGATCGAGGGAGGGGCTTGGAGGAGGAGTCTTGAGGACTTGGATCAGCGCCTCCTGGGCACGCTTCCGGACCTTGGGGCGGTGGTCCACTGAAAGACTCAGCAGGCCCGCCGTCGCACGGCGAGGTCCGATTTGAGTGTGAGGCAAGTTCCACGCTGCGGCATCCTGAGCAATAAGGAGCGACTCAAGGCAGCCAATTGACGGGCGGAGGAGAGGAGCTTCGACTTCGGGAAGCGAGAGGGCGGGCGCGAGGCTAGTGAGAATCTGGGAGAACTTGGAGCGAAGGATCGGAGCCGGTACATAACTCGTGGTGATGTCGAGCAGGTACACGACAGATGTTGCTAGATCCTTGTTCACGATGCCTTGTTCGGCAGAAAGAGATTGAGAGAGAAGTGCGAGAAGTGCGGCGAAATACGCTGTCGCAGAAAAGTCGGCCTTTTGATCGCGAAGAGTATCCTCCACTGCAGAAAGTACCACAGCAGTCTGCGGGTTTTCAATTTTTTTTTTTGGGTTAGCGGTCTGTCTTTTCAAGTTCGAGGCAAATGCCTCTAGGTGCGGGGACTGAATAGCATACGTGGTGCTGATTCTGCAGCTTGGGAGACTTGATCTTCTCAAGCTTCTCCGCTAATGTCGCCATGGTGATTGTGGACGACGAGAGGGAGCATGTAACAGCGTGCGGGGGAGGCTGTTATGGCGGTGATGGAGAAAACTCGTGAGAAAAAAAAAGGTACAGCGGGCTCTTGGCGGGTTATCGATAAGCGTGGATGAACCCACTTTGATTTCTTCGCCGCCTGTTGGCCTGCGAATCTGCGATTTTTAGTTGCGCGATTGGAGCTGATTAATAGTATTAGCCAGTTAGGCACCTGTTGAGGCCGTTTGCAATGTTGAATCAGATGAGAAAAAGAAATTGGTCTATCATATTTGACTTTTTACTATCTTTCAGGTACCTGAGAAAGGTTACTCGGCTGAGTGAGTACCCATCTCAGCCGGTTTCTGCTAGATCGCGTGTGCATCAAAATTGTCATCCATTAGTTTCAAAGTTACCCAACGAGCTTGTTCTTTCGCTAAAGTAGAGCCATCTCGGGTATTTCTTCCAGGCTCGAATCTCTATGAGCAGTCACTGTGTTTGCCTTCATCATATCTGATTCCAGACGTGAACATCATTTCGAAGTGATGAAGAATCTTCAGAGCTACAAGTGTAGACCGGTGCCCAGATGCTAAACATGGTGACTGTCTTGTTCTTCGTGTATTATCACGAGGATATCGTGGGAGGGTATGAATCATGGTCATATCTGGAAACATAGAGCCCATCTCTTCAAAGGCCACAATGACCTGCGACTTACGCAAACTCATCGCTGGGTTTCTCGAGGCCGTGAAGAAAAAATGGCCCAGTGCATATGCGACAAGTGTTCCTTAGAACAAGATCTCCCCACTATGCTCAGGCTCGAAGCCAAGTGCCTGCAACTCGCCGTGTCGTTTCTTATCGGTTGTCTTGCGCTGGCTGTCTTCCTTCTTCTTTAATTCGAAGACTTCCTCGAATGGCGCCTTGGTCACGGAGGAAGGGATGTCGTCTTCACGGTCGAGGTCCTGAACACCCAAGCGTTAATTTCAGGCTGCAAGAAGAAGAGAGAAAGACAGATGCGAGACCAAGCATCTCTTAGAAAGACTCTTTGTTCTTTCACTCCGCTCTTGTTCCTCTCTAACGGTGTTCAGAGAGTGTCTTTTACGTACCACTTCACCCAACAGCAGCACGTTCTCACCTCGCACGAGGAAAATCCCGCGGGGTACATCCGCGTATAGATTGCCAGCATAGATCCTCTCAATGGTATCCTGAAGAACGAGATTTGCTGGAAAAGAAAGTTGCGCCACCAATGCGCACTTCTGGTAAGCTAGTCGTTCGTATTTCATTCGTGCCGTTCTTTTTTTCCTTCTTCTTAGGCCAAAGGAAAAGGTTGTGTGACACTCATACCGAATTGATCCCAGCTCCGTAGCACACCGATTAATTTTCTCCCGTCACGCAGAACCAGAACAAGCTTCTCTGTGGAAGAAAGGGGTCGGTGAGCCTATGTCCAGACTATACATTTCCAGAAACTGTCATGCACATGGTCTGCGCGGAACATACTATCAGTCAAATCGAGTAACTGGGCGGCAGTCGTGAACATTTGCGGGGGGAGCTGTGGCGGGCCGGATTGAGCTTGAGGCACCGCAGAGCCAAGGGCATTTTGCTGTCCAGGTCTCTGTTGTTGCTGCTGCTGTTGATGTTGTTGTTGTTGCGATTGTGACTGCTGCTGTTGCTGCGTATTGCCAGCCGTCTCGTTAAGTGATAGTCGCTCCATGCCGGCGGAACGTGGGATGTGGGGTAGAGATTGCAAAGGAAGGCGACCGGAGGAGCGATTGAGTGGACTTCAGTCGGGAGGAGTACTTGGTAAGGAAGGAGAGTGAAAAGGTCACAATCGCATTCTGCTGGGAGTATGTCGACTATGTTGAAGGGAGCGGCCAAATTTGCGATGATCATGGCGAATGCGCCGAGCCGGACACGGCCATCAAGGGTGGGTTGTGTTTGTCTCGTTTGCCTGTCTCCCCACTATGGGGACGGATCGACTCGAGTCTCGAGGAACCGAGTCCTGCCAATTCGTTCGATTTTGTATTGTTGAGTCAACGAGCTCGTGTTTATCTCAAACCATGAAAACTCAGTGCGTTGGAACGCAGTGATTGCTGATGAACATCTAGATAAAAGCCAGAGGCTCAGCTTCTGGGCCAACATAGGAAAGACGCCGCTTTGAAAGTGTAGTAGCCTTCGCCTCCGATCTGTTTCATTTACCTTCTTCCATCGCTGGTAGTTCACGTATGCATTAGGATATCTCGGGACTTGGCCTGGTTGAGGACTTGCTGAATCCACTGTGACCCGGTCCCTCAAAGATCCTGATCTCCTTTATTCAAAAGCGACTTCGTCTCTGATCTATTGGGGTTCCCATTGATGAATAAGGGTCAGTGGACCAGAGATACCACACAGTACATACATTATCAACTGTTGCTTTCATCCATTTCTATCCACATCGTCGCATGGCTCTCTTTGATTTATACTAACAATTGCACCCGGAAATAGGCAACACTTGAAATTTTCTCGGACCTGCGATAGACAGAGCCTCAATATCTCAATGTAGTCAGATCTCTCTTCACGTGTGAAATGATACTAGCGGTGAAGCCAGGCCAACAGGTTGGCATGCCAGTCGGATCCACCAGATGCTTGTTTGTAGATTACTAGAATCCGCCCGGTCATGGCAATTCAAATAACGCCGGAGATCCAGCAGTATTCGTCAATGCCCTGAGTTGTGTTTACTTACAGTCATGGATGCGTCTCAAAGTATTCCCCAGTATAAAAAAAAATGATCTGTCAATCTATATCGGTCATGTGATCTGATCGAGTCATGATTCTGTGTCACTGTATATCAGGTGACCTGTCCATGATGTTGTGTTGTGAAACTTACATGGGAGTTCCTGATTCCGTGATGGTAGAGGTGCTTAGATTGTCCAGACGAGGGGGGGGGATCCAGGCTTCACCTCGGAGATGGAGTTCCTCAGCTTCGAAGAATCGATACAATGGAGACGAGACCTTATCAACAGGGCAAAAGGAACGAATGCCAGCTCCAGGGAGACGCATTATTGAACCTCAAGCAGAACGAGGAGAGCCCAGACACTCATCCGACAGTCAGACGTTGCTCATATTGAAAATTTATCAACGGGGGAATCAACCACCACAACAATATTTACTTGATCATACACAATAATAGAAGGAAAACACGCCCAAGTCAGTCATCCTTTTCACACATCCTGGCGATGAAACATCTACATCGATTGGTGTCGGCGTCGGTTCATCGATCCTCAAAAAGGTCTTCCCCAAGCTGCGGAGAAGCCAGTCAGCTTCAATCAAAGCACAAGACTGACCCCCCTTTGTTGTCCACGCATTCTGTCCTCGCGTCGGCGACTATACGGCGCATAGTACGGCTCGTCTGCAGAGCCAATACTCGCCCGCACTCCGTCTTGTGAGCGGTGATATGCCGGACTCGACGGTGCTGGCGCAAGCTGAATCGCTTTGAACTGAGCATCGGTGATGATCCGCCGTCCATACATGTAGCGCATGAGCTCAAAGTCTGGTCTACTTCCGGCCAGCGTTTGGCCATGCTGATAATGCTCTGTGGCAACATGGCTGAGCATACGATCCCAGGCTGAGCAGACCCGTTCGCTGGTCGAGAACACGCTGGACTCATCTTGCTCCGTGGTCGAGCTCCAGCCGGACATGTCAGACGACCGGTCGGGAAGCAGGTCCTGGTCGACAAACTCGGTGTCGGGACAGATGGGACATCGTGCTGTTTTTGGTGTTGGATGAGTACGAAAATGACTCAGAACGTGAATCCGCCACTCTGTCTCGTCTTCAAAGACATCATGACAGTCCAGTGGATGAAAGAGGCAGATATACGTTCCGAACGAAGCAGTCTCCACTTCCTTCCTCCCATCGACCGAGCCACGCCGATTCGGTTCCTCCAAGGACGGATCCCCAGAGATCTGTGATGCCGCTGTCGTGCTCCACGAGGATGTCGATCTCTGAGACTGTGGTCTTCCCACGGTAGAACCTCCTGAGATAATCGGACTTCGTCCATGATCTCTCGCCAACTCCGGTACATGTGCGCTCCTCTCTGGAAAGTCGACGCCGGACATCTGTCTCCTTCTGAGTGCCGGGCCATACATCGCCACGGACTCGATATCCGACATGGTATCCACAGAAGAAGTTGACGGCGAATTCGACCCGCTGGTTAATTCTGGGAGTGCCGTTGGTAAAGCAGCGGAGGGTATCTGGTCTGTACGAATGACCACTCCGATTTGCCTTTTGCGCATCGACCTGTCAGCAGACATCCGGGTCGGGAATGGACGGGTATGCCCGAAATGCGACAACGAGGGGGCTCGAGACGGCCCTGTTGTGTCTCACAGGATACCAAGAAACGCAAGAGTTCCACAGGGCCAAAATTGGCGGTGATTCGATTTTTTTTCTCTCTGTCAGGCCTTTGTTGATCGATCAGGGTGATGGTGAGACCTTACAGGGAAGAAAAGAAGAATATGGCTCTCGCTGTTTAGGTTCCCGATGCGCTCCGTGATAGGCGCGCGGGGTGTCCCATGAGCAAAATATCTCACCGGCGTGTGGCTGCCTCTCGTGCTCTCTCTTCTTCTCCGATGACGAGGGACCTCTCCCGGGACTAAGAGTATCGCAGAGCTTACACGGTGACTCACACCAGCAATCACCTGGCTAAATCAAAAGGTGTCCCAGAGACACGACACATTATCCGGCCGTGGTCATGGCGCGGGGAGGTGACAGGAGAGAGAGAGAGAGAGAGAGAGAGAGAGAGAGAGGGAAAAGATCGACTAAAAACAACGTGGAGAAAACGGACAAGACGCGGCATAGTGTAAGAAGAAAGAAGAAAATATTTCTCACGATTTGATTGACAAGCAAGTCAAATGCCCAGACTTTGACACGAATACCCTACTATAACATCCAAGGAAGCCCTGTTTTTCTCTTTCTTTTCCGTGGCCCTTCCAGGTTCGCCCCTCCAGTCCGACGGCTCCCTCTCATCTCCAATCTCAATCGTTAGTTCGGAGTGTGTGGTGGTACCCCGCAACTGACCAGTTCACACTTCGTACTGCAGCAACGAGGCAGAAACCGTCTACTATTTAATATTTACAATGTACATTGTCCAGCGTACATGTGCCAGAGAATCAAGAATTTCAGACAAGCCCGACGGACAACGAATTTGCCCGATAGTCATCGTCTACATGATTTACTCACCTCCCTCTCCGCCCGACTCCAAGTATAAATCCACCGTCCCTCCACAATACCATCATAAAGTTGACCCATCCCATCGTCAAGCCCATGCACTATACGACGACATCTCCGTACCAGAAATACATGCATGACGCCGGATACTTCCAACCAGTAATACAACTGCAGCAGGCAGCAGCAGTAGGAGTTTCAATATGCAAACACCGTATGCAGAGCGGCAAATTCGACCAGGAGCTGGAGGGTCCAGACGCATGATCGGACTACTCTGCTGTGTTTGTTAAGATGTCGAGGTTCAATTTACACCCGAGAAAGCTGATCAAGTTCCATGTGGTGAGGTATGCAATCTCAGGCCATACCATAAACGGCTCATCTTGCTTGCATCGCTGTGGCGTGTTAAGTGACCATCCCTGAAGGTACGTACATTAAATTACGAGACGCTAGTTATGTTCCGTAGGGGGTACATAATAACCTAGGCTTGCGAAATTTACTCCTGTGCTCCCGTGGCGACGGACGTTAATAAGAATGACATCTCGAGATAAGTACACTGAGATAATGTTCATCTTCGAGTTGCAGAGAACAAGCACATGGAAGTGGTCTCCGGGGACGAGCCCGTACGGTATCTCTAATTTTCGGTTCGATTCCAGAAGAGTATGTGAAGAGTTTTGTTTCATGTTTTTTGCCCACTTTGGTCTGAAGCTAAGGGGAACAAGAGTAGGAGAGGGTGTGATGAGACATGGAAGTTTTCAACATCCACGGGCTAGTACATATGATGACGAGACCAGAGAGTGGATGGACATGATAAAAGGAAAAGTGTATTTTGGTAGTGAGGTCAAAGTCGGGGAGATATCATGAGAGGAAAGAGATAGTTCAGAAGCTATGGAGGGGGGGGGGGGGGGCCGCACCCGAGCCGGTCTATTGAATTAGAAGAATAAAACGCCTGATGAGGGACCAAAAAAAGAGGTAAGAGAAGAAGAATGGGGAAGAGATAGGTGAGGAACCCTAGGAGTGTCCTAGGGTGAAAGGGGGGGGGGGGGCAGAATAGAAAGAAAAGAAAAAGAGATGTAGAAAATGAGACACCGAATCCGTCCCAACCGACACCGTTGATGCCTGCAATCCCTGAGGGATGAAAATGCACAAGTCTATCGTTTCGTAGCGCGCATGGAAAGCAAAGAAGACATGACAATGAGGACAACTCAAAAGCGAGGCCACCATTTCTGTGAGCAACGAAAGACGAAAAAATTGAAAGGTGAAGAAGTGAAGATGCTCTAGAAACGATCCGCCAGATCATTACCAGCCACGGAATTATTCGTCGAGGAAGACATGGAGGAGAAACCAGTAGAAGGGTTCAACATGTCCTGTACGGCGACCTTGGGCACCTGTGGAACAGGCAATTTTCGCTGCGTGCCATCAGGTTTTGACATGATATCGCTGATACTGGGACCCATGTGACCTTGACCGGGGCTGTAATAGGTGGGACCCTCAGGCTGAGGTTCCATTGGCGCCAAAGCGGGCGTATGTTGAAGAGACAGATGACGGATCGAAGGAAGGTGCAATTCACTGGCGCCCAGTGGACGAAGACGAGGAGAATGGGCAGGAGTCGCCAGAGGCGTATGGTCGGGGGTGGGGGACAGAGAATCGTGAGAGAAAGTGGGCGAAGAAGGAGCGGTAGAGTTGGGTGAGTTAGGGCGCGAGCGCTTGACCCGATGCCCATAGGCGTCGTCATCCTCATTGGAATGCGATCGGGTCATGTTGTGCGAGATGGCATATGCCGAGAGCGAGGGCAGACCACGCGCGTGGTGACGCGATCCGAACATGTTGTGTCTTGAGCCGTGGAAGCCCAGGTGATCATCGCGCTCCACCTGCGACGCCGCGGTGGCCAGCAGGTTGATGTCCATACCGGATGAAGCGCGCTCGGAGGTGCGCGAATAAGGGCCGAGGTTGGAACGCATGTGGTTGGCATAGTTGGAGAAGGATTGAGGGGGAGACACGTCCGGCGATCCAATCTGAGAAACAGGCGCAGAGCGAGTGATGGGCTTGCTGGGAGGAGGCATCATGTTCGCCGCGGTGACCATGGCCGCATCCTGACCGGCCGCTGCCGCGGCGGCGGCGGCCGCGAGGTGCTGAGCCTTGTTGCTGCGACGAGAATTGGGGTTGTTGTGGATGCGGGAGTGGCGAGTCAACTCATCGGAGCGGCTGAAACGCTTCGTGCAGCCGGGGAATTGACAGGCGTGAGGCTTCTCCCCGGTGTGGGTGCGGATGTGACGGGTCTGGTGCTCCAGGCGGTGGAAGGCCCGATCGCATAGAGGACACTTGTAGGGGCGAGGCAAATCCTGACGGACTTCCTCGTTGGCCGGACGAGCACCCTTCATGAGCGGCGGGAGGAGGCTGACCGAAGAGGCCATCGAGGATTCTGAAGCGAGAGTGGTGGTCGGCGGAGCCGCGACGACGGGGGAGGTCGTTGTCGCTTCCTGGGGATTCAGTAGATTTGAAAAACCCACTGAGGTAGAGGGAGACATATGAAGATCTCCGGAGGAACAACGGCCGGAGACGAAGGACACCGGAGATGTAGCCCGAGAGTGAGACTTGCTATGGAGCTGTCCGTCTTTTCTTATTCGAGGGCGTTGGGATCCAGGCGGAGCACGTTTGGAAGGTGCCGGAGGTCCAAGGCGGGAAGTTGTCGAAGGAAAAATTTCCTTGAGAGGGTGTTGGCAGGGATGTATGCTCTCGAGGTTCTAGAGCTCAATCGTCCCGACAGGCCAGATCCGCGAGGGGTGGGAATCAGGGAACGTTTTTGGCTGATAGGTGACAATCCTCCGACGACAGAGGAAGGTGGTGATGTAAGAGAGGTGTTGCGCACGGGTCGATTGGGGGGCGCAGGGTTGTCGAGTATGGGGTGTTGTGGGAGTGATGTGTGTGTGTGTGGGATAGCTGGAAGAGCGAGTGAGTCGAATGGAAAATCTGGAGGCGGGCGATCTGGGGAGCAGGAGATAATAAAGGCAAGGGGGTTACGAAAAAAAAAAGAGGGGAGTATGAGGAATGGAGGGGAAAAATGAAGAAGGGAGAACTCGGGGTGCGCTCGGAATCGGCGCGAGTTGGGGGGGGGGGTTTTCTTTGGGAGAGAGGAACAGAAAAAAAAAAGAATTTGGTAAAAAGCACAAAAAGGGAACCAAGATGGAGTCGGATCTGTTTAGGGAGATGTCCTTTTTGAGGCTGTAGGGGGAAAGGAAAGGACGATAGGAAGTAGGAAATCTGCTGAGGCTACTGGGGAAAAAAGAAAAAGGGAAAATACAGAAAAGGGTCATCTGTAAGCCAAGAGGAAAAAGAAAATTCTGAAAATCCACTTTGTCTGCGACTCTGCCTTTTCACTTCCCCCAAGGTGACTTATCGGGATCGTGACAAGGTTCAGTGACGGTGTGGGGGAAAACTAGGGACTGGGGAGGCGAAAGGGGAAAAACTCGGTGAAAAAAAAAAAAAGAAGAAATGGGGGGGGGGGGGGGGTGAAAATCGCGAAAATGGAAGACCGAGCCGAATGGGGAGGTCAAACCAGGCCAAGAGTCAAGAACGAAATCTGCCATTTGATTCACCCACCTCAATTCTTCTCTGGGACACTCAGCCCAAGCCTAAAGAGGATAGGCGGGCAACGTGCACCGGGTCGATCGTCTTAGGCCAATTCGGCCAAGGAACTATAGTACTAAGTACAGCAGTATACTGAGTACAGCAAGTACTTCCATCCCTAGCACAACTCCGACCACGATCTAGAAAAAGATTCGTCAACTTGAAGAGCTCGACACTGCGCAAGCAGATGTTCCCAAGACCGACTTGGAAACAATTGTTTAGGAGAGGTTCCTGGGTGAATTCAGGAGATGTGCAATATGGATGACAGACTGTACATAGTACATACTACATAGTAATGGATCCCGGCACTGTACGCTTTAGGGTCGCGGGACGGGAATGATCTGATCAGTAGTGATGTGACTCAAAAACCGGGGAGTCTTGATATGGTCCGGATCAGTAGTATGCGACCTACACCGTAACACATCAGGAGGTCCTGATACGCGTTACAGAGGACAGTCCAACTCCAACCACGATAGGGGGAGAATACTGATCGTGGCGTCCTAAGGTACATGACCTACTCTGAACCTCCTTATGTCATGATAGTGCGCTCCCGCTTGAGAACCACTGTCGATACTGACAAGGGGAAAATTCTCGGGAGAATGAGGGAGAAATTATTACTTCTTCTTTGCTCGTTTCGTAGTCCGTACCACAGTCCGACTTCCGCTGCAGAAGAGGGTACCCGATGTCTCTAGACTCTGGAGTCTACGTATGTAATTACTCCATATCGCACAACGATCATGTGGGGACCAGGGCAACTTTCCGGATCACGAACAATCAAATGATAAAATGATGTGTGCGCCCCCAAGGTCCCCTTGGCAGGGTTTGCTTTCAGGGCCGAACGCAGGAGAGTGGGCTGATTCGGGGCGGCGGCCTTTCTTGTGGGCACCTTTCTGCAACAAGTCGTCCCTCAACCTTGACCGGGCGGGTGCGTGTCCAGAGAGGGTCGTACGTAAGTCTGGTCCCCTTGTTTCCACTGCCCTCCCTTTTGCTTCCCGCACGGGGTGTGCCTCGCTTCCGCCCGATAACGATCGCCTCCTCCATCTCTCCTGCCCAAATTCCCTTCCCCGGCTATCGCGCGTCCGGCAGAAAGCTGGGGATGGTCACACACATGGGCTTATCTCGGGCCATCTGGAGGCATCGTGACTAGAGTTCTTCCAGCACCTGCATCCCGTGGACGAGGTTACCATCTGCTGAGCTGTGATGCAAGCTCTGAAACTGGCTTTGTCTCCTATCATGATGTGTGAACCCTTTCTTTCATGTGATTCAGCTCCCGAGACTCGGACGGGGTTTCTGATTGATCGATTACATAGCATGATAGCACAGGCTACCTCGTACTTACGTACTACGCACTACTATTTTTAATTTGGGGCTGGCCCCGGTGTACAAAGAGTCAAACACAACAAATCGACCGGTACTCCGGTCAGGTAGCTATTTGTCCGCCGCTACCACAGTATTTGTCCAGCGTGGCCATGTGATCAAGGAGTACTACCCTCTGCCACTACATTTGGAATCAACAAAGTTGGCCTAGACATCTGTCCAGGCCCTAACCCCCACAGAGCAACTCCCCTCAAAAACAACAATGATGCGGGAGGATGATGTTGATGATGATGCCATCATCATCATCAGTGCAAAGTGGCAAAGCGCGGGAGGAAGATGACAGATCTCCCCGTGTCCGCGTCAATTCTTCCAGGGTCGCGGTTTCGCGCCTCTAACTGGTCCGAGGATCTAGGTCGATCTCGCGGGGCCGAAGAGAGGAATCAACGCAAGGCCTACACGTACCCTTCTGTACGACTGTACGTATCCTTGGATCCTAGGAGTAAGCTGGACCCAACGAACGGTGTAAGCTTGATCGACGGTGCCCTACATGTTTGGTTCGGTGGTAGGCACCCGTACACCTTCGTATATGCAGTGATGCGGATATGGACGAGGTCGATGGACCTCTGGACCCGCCCGGCTGCACACGGGGAGAGAAGATCCTGGTCTCCCGGACGCGCAAAAGAACCTTAGTTGAGACTCTATATACAATTCACAGAGCATATTGGACATGTGGAGAGCAAGCACATGCGCCCTTGCGTTTTTTGTGAGAGCCGTCAAGAGTGTAGGTGGAAGGTAGTAGGTACTAGGTAGGTAGTGGTACCAATATGCAAACCCACGAAGAGCAAACTCCAGACACCAGAGTCACCGCGGAAACTCATCGACCACAATAGTGAAGTAGTCGGGTCTGACTCTACTGTACCTTGGAATGATCGTGAAGGTGGTAGCAGTTCACTCTTCCTACATCGAAGACCCCAACTCCTTCCCTGGACTAGGCATTCAAGGGCCCAAGAGACTACCCCAACTTTTCCCCTCTTCCACTATCTGTGACGAAGGCTGATATCATCGATGATGTCGTCGATCAGCGAGGATGATATATGATTTGAGCATCCCGCCCTCACTACCCTACCGGATGGTTCCTGTGGGAAAGACGATCCGGCAAGAAGAGCAGAGTCAGGGAGGCAGAACCAGATCTCGAGGCTTGGTTGGTGAGGCCTGGAAACTTTGCTTGCACTCGGATGGTCGCACACGAAAACAAACCGGGCCCAAGAGACGTTACATTGGTTCTAGATTTGGATCCTGATCGCCCTGAGCTTAAAATCCGGGGAGACGCAATACTCATGCTGTAGACTCATGATATCGGATGAGGTGGCCTCCTCGAGGTGTTTTAACGTGCCGCTGCGCAATATTTTTTCTTCCATTGGCGTGTGAGGCTACATTCAGCACATGATGGGTTCACTCAATGATTTTCCCTGGTGATTCATCGAGTTGAGTTTCTGCATTCGGTGCATCTACCTTGGTACCCTATCTACCAGTACAACAGGTATGATGGCCATCCGTCGGAGTATGTACGTATCACCTAAACTACGAAGCACGCACCTACAAGTGTACTGAGGCAAAGACCACCTCAGCTGGGTACTAACTACTTACATACGTACACCCCGACCAGCAAGTATGTACAAGCGAGTAGGAGTAAGGTCCAGTGGATGAATAACTTACTCATACCCCAGATTCTGTTATCAACGCCAATCTAGATAGGTAGTAGGAGTCTCCCCCCGCAAATCCACCCTCATGCACTCATCGGGACAACATTCGATGCCATCAAGGATCCTCCACCGTGTCTCCGCGTGTCCAGATCAAGTAATTCATCAGATCTCATCGAGGCTAAGCAACCCCGGTCCTGGTCCTGGTCCTGGTCCTGGTCCTCCTGGTCCTTCAACGAAGCCACACCCCCAAAGCAGGAGAACTGAAACGAATTAAGAAGAGATCAAAAGTACCTCTTGTTTGACAACTTGACACACAAACGACTGCAATCGCAATCGAAGCATGCCAGTGATAGGCCCCCTGGTCAGCCCCCCTCTGCAAGAGAGGCGCAGAGGCCACCGTGCAGTTGCACTGCGACTGTGCTGAGGACTGGAGCAGCAGCTATCCAGCAGATACACCGCGTCCAATTGCAACCCGGACTCGAGACATCCGCTGCAGCCACTTGGGAGCTGCATTGATGGTGCGCCGGACTCCCAATTTATGAATCGGTACACCTCTTTTTTTCTCTTTTCTTTTCTTTTCTTTTCTTTTTTTTTTCGCTTTGATGATTTTGAGCGAATTGCGACTTACGCATGGCAAACGGCGTATCGCGCGGGAAAAGAACCGCACCTTGGTCAATTCTTTGTACTCAAAGGACAATTCAGCTCGACTATTGTCCATTGAGATACAGGTGAGTGTGCGAATCTCGTTTTCCCCCGCTTCTCAAGGGTTGTATTTGCCTTTTCTCTACCTCTGTTTCCCAATCACAATGTTCTTTCTCTTGCCTATTTGGTGATTGCATTGCGCCATCTCGGGGAGGGTATCACCCCGTCAATCTTCACAC